TATCATACCTTATATATACTTATATAAATTATAGTCTAAAATTTTGACCAATCACAGAGATCTTCACCTATGCTACTGATATGTCGTATTCTCGGAAATGAATAGTATGTATTATTTATTTCCCGCGGGAATAAAAAGATAAATTCGGTTGTCTGGGTCCGAAAGGCCAAATTAACAGAGATTTACCGGTTATTCTCCTTTAGTAGGAAATAAACTGATACGGATTTTATTCTTCGTTTTATGACAGTATATTTTACGACTTACATATACATACCTTATAATCAGTAAAAAGATGTTTCTAGGAACGCTTGTTATTTCCTGGCAATGTTTGCCAGAAGCAACTTTTTTTTAATTGCTGCAAATATTATTCACGGGACCACCATTGTTAGGAAATTCTTTTTATTATAATTTATTTTGTCCTTTTTGTGATGTTAGTACGATTATGAGTTACATTAATTTCTACATGTTATTTCCATTGTTTATGACCGGTGTTCGTATTCGGATTTTTTCATATTTTAAATCGATTTGAACATAGTCCAAATGCCATGTTCACTATAAAAAAATTATTATGTTCTTATTTTGTTTATATTTTAAATTTTTATTACAGATTTTATATTGATTCTTTTTTTATCATATTGGGCAGAAAGTAAATACTAGAATCAATAAAATTTATTATTTATAGTTTAATATAGTAAAATAGGGTTGTTTTTTTTTTAATAAATGCAATTTATTTTTTTTGTCAAAATGTCCGAACTAACTATCCAACGACACTTTGTTTATATTTTGATAACAATAATAATAATAATAATAATAATAAATAAACAATAAATATATATATATATAAGTGACTTTTTATATAAGAAAGTTGCCGGGTCTAGATAAAATCTTATTTTCGAAAGCTTTTTATTATAAAATTTCAATTGGGACTTGTAAAATCATTCTTATATCTAGAGTTTTTATATCTAAGAATTCTTATATCGAAAGTTACATTATATTTATGTCGTGCCTCAAATTGAAACTTACTTCAGATTAAAACCGCCCTAAATTATAGTTATAAGTATTAGGATTTAGAAGGCCGATTATTTAGATTGTTTTAATGTTGGCCTAATGGTTTTAATCTGAAGCACAACATAACGATAAGTTATGTACAAAAAATTGAGAACTAATAAAAAAAATATATTAGCTAGGCAATAATACCTGTTCTTAACCTTACGCAGATAAATCCGAACCTTAACGTTTATAAATAAGTGAGTTTTTAAGAATTCAAATTTAAATTTATTTATTCATGCAAATAGTTGAAAAATTTTCAAGTTAGATAAACCATATTTTTTTGTAACATATCATAAATAATAACATAAATGTTGCACATGTCCTCAAGATGATGATGAATACTAATCAAATGTTGCTTATCGAGGTGGTTAAGTGCATGGTAGCTGTCTTGAATTATTGGAAGCTTGTAATATGTCCTTTCCATTGAAGAATAGATGAACATTAACGAAGGGATGGCATATTAGATTAATAATTGATAATTATGTTGATAACAACAACCTGTTAATAAGACCTGAAACTTACTTGCATAATTTGGCGCGAGCGATGTAATATCTTGTAATACTGTCTAAGAATAAAAACGAACTATCTTCAACTCGCGATAATTCAGCTGTTATGTCTGAATATTGTAACAGAAGATACTAAATAAAGGAATTTTAATTTAAAAATTATATTATGTAAACAGGATATGCGTACCTTCTTGTGCAGAAATTTTTGGGTTTTCTTCAGTACCAATTCTACACATAATCCGATTAAAAAGATTACATTAATTTTTTCAAAAGATAAATTAAAAATTATTTAATATTAAACAAAACCTTGGATATTTAAGCGTAACCCAAGCCCTCAATTTACAACAATATCCAGCGAAACAAGCAACTTCATATTCAAGAATTTTATGCAACTCCTTTATACGAAAATAATCTTTTCCATTATTCAAACATGCCATGTTATCGTTATTATCAACATCATCACTATTTTTCATAGAAATAGCCTTGCACGAGACACTTTCAGCGTCTTTTACGATTTCATCAGTTTGAGTGGAATCGTCATTGATCTCATTTCTGCGTCGTTTACGAGATGATTTTACATCATTATTATCATTTTGAATCAAAGAAGGTTTGGGATTAGTTATGGAACCATCTGATTGGTATTGCAACAAATTATTTAATTCTAGAATTTTACAAGGAAAAATTTGGTTAATGATCTCAAGAGATTGAAGTTTTAGTTTTGAATGAAACTGTTCGAGATTTTGAATTTGATTAGATATTGCGGGAAAAGAATCAGATTGAGACATGATAATATATTAGAAAAAAAAAAAAAAAAAATTATTTAACATTTATTAAAATAAGTCTTCCAAAGTATCGCAAATTACATTATTTATATTTTTTTTTAATGATGTAATGATTTATACAGGAATAATAATTCTAATTATCATATCGTAAACACTTATGATCACAAATTTTTCTCTTTATATTATTACGTAAAACTTTGCAATTAAGACTTTCAAAGCATCGATCAATGGCCATTCTTAGTCGAACCATTTATTAGCCGGAGTTAAGCTGTGCTATAACTTTACAATCATAAGAATTGTTGTTGTAAGCAAATACCGTATGTTAAATTTTATGAAGATTTTTTTTTTTTCAATTTGTATTATTTATACAAATAACTACTTAGCGTTAGTGTTTAATCGTTATTACAGTATTTGCAAAGGTAACAATCCTACGGACCGGACCGATCAAATGATACTAAATTCATTTTATTATTCGCATCAGAATAAGTATTTAGCGTATATAGCAGATTTTTTTGTTTTGATACCAGACTTTTGACGAGAAATTTTCTATTTTAAAAAATAATTTAGCAAATATACACATTTAAAAAACTTTTAATTGTAAATCGATATTTATTTATTTAATTAAAAAGATTAATTATAACTTTACTAAATCTTTTATTTATTAAAAGAAAATAGTTCAACTTTAAAATAATAAATAACTTTTCTAAAAAAATAATAAAATCTTTAATTTGATTATGTTAAGTAATACAAGTATAATAATTATTAATTAAATTAATAAATATCTTTGTAATGATGAGTTTCAAAAAAATATTATATAAAGGAACAGAAGTACATAATATATCTATTTTTTAAATTCAGCCTTATTATAAATATTTTTTATTAAAATATTATAAAGATTTAAAATCAAATCATTTAGATCTTGCAAATCAAAATTATATAACATATTCAATATTTTAAAAGTAGAAGTATATAGATTATTTTTTATATAATTTATATATTTTTTTAAATTTTTATATAAAATTAATATATGCTACTAATAAAATTTTTTTAAATTATAATTTATTTTTATTAAAAAAATTTTTTTTTTGTTATTAAGCTTATATTGCTAATAGGATTTTATTAGTTTTGCATATAGAATTATATATTGATAATCTCTACTATTTATAATTATATAAAAAGTATATATATAACAAGTTATATGAGATGTCTTATATTAAAAAAGACTATTTTTATATTTTTTTGAAAATTGAGTTTTTATTAGATTCATATTAATTTTGATATGATTAATATTTTTTAATTATAAATAAAAGTCAATTTGTATAATAAAAAATCATAATAATATAAAAGAAATATTTATAATTCTTCTAAAAGCTAATAGATTATGAGATTATCTAATAGTTATTTGTTACTATTAACTAATCAAAGATCTGATAATCTAGTGTAGTAAATAGGTTATCAGACTATTATATAATATGTTTGGAGTTCAAATCTTACTGTTGACAATTTGAATAATTTTTCAAACCTTGTATTCAACTTATAGTAAATTCTGCTCATTTCTTGAGATTATAACTCTGTAAATTATATTATACTAATATTAATTAAATATTAAAAGTGTAATAGAATATTTGAGTTATGTTATATAAATAAATTAAAATAGAATCTATAAGCAGAGGATTTGCATAGTAGAAATTTCAAGTTAGGTAAAGTAGTATAGATTTCAATAGTTATACTAGTTAATACTTAATCTAGTAAAAAGTTTAAGTATAAAAGATGCAGATCGAATAGATGTAAGTAAGTTCATTATATGAGGTTATATAACAATACTAACTTGACTTAGTAGCTAACTAGATTAGAAGAATCTGTTTCATAAAATATTCAGAAAAACTAGAGCTTTAACCTAGTAAAGAGCTATAGCAAGAACTAGGTTTATATAGACCCAGATCTTATTCGAATAAGTCCTACTTCAACGCCTCCTAACAGATGGGTGTCATGATACCCAACTATGCTATACTATATCCCTATTCTAGCTTGCATATACTCTTATTCGATGTTTGTACAAACCCAGTTCTAGCTATAGCCTTCTACCAGTTTAGACTTCTATGTCCTTCTGAATGTTTTACGAGGAAGATCCTCCTAATCTAGTTAGCTGCCAAGCCAAGTTGGTGTTGCTGTAACACCTAATGTCATAGACTTACTCGCACCTACTCGATCTACATTTTCGTACTCAGAAATCTTTGTCAGATCAAGCATTAACCAGTATAATCGTCGAAATCTATACTACTTCACCTAACTCAGGATTTCTACCCTGCAGGTCCTCTGCCTATAGATCCTATCTCGATTTATTCATATAATACAACTCAAACATTCCATCACACTTCCAATATCCACACAATATTGGTGCAATGTGATTTACAGGGTTACAACCCCAGAAATGAACAGAGTTTACTGTAAGTTGAATACAAGGTTTGAATAATTATTCAAAGTATCGACAGAAGGATTTGAACCCCAAACCTATTGCATAGCAGTCTAACAACCTATCTACTACACTAGATCACCAGACCTTGTTTTGTTATAATTTAAACTATAAAGCTTTCTTTATAAATTAATGAATAAAATAAATATAGTCATTTTACTTGAACAAATTTAATTAATTTTGTATAATATATATTTTAAGATTAGTTAAAGTTTTGATTTTTATTTTTTTTTTGAAATTTATAATTTGGTTAACTAATAATTATATAACAATATATATATTGTTTATATTTATTAACTAATTAAATCAAATATCTGCTATACTAGATTAGGATATAGTATAGCATAGTTAGATATTATAGTACTTATTTAATAGAAGATATTGAGGTGATATTTATCTGAGTAAGGTCTAGGCTCATAATAGTAAAGTTTGCAATATATATTAGCTTAGATATCTTTTAAAGTAAAGTAGTATAGAGTTATAGTTTACTTAAAGTATAATACTTGTAGTAAGTAAGATAAGACCAGAAAGTTTAAATAGAAAATCTTCTAAAAGATTTTAGATATAGCAGCTAGTGTAGAACTTTTGAGCAGACTATTTAAATTAGATAACCTAAAATTGTATATGTAGCTAGTTGTACTCTCACAATATATATCATGTTCTATAATTATAAAACTAATAAAAGTTAAGCTAATAGCATTTATATAAAATAAAAAATATATATATTTATATTAAAATATAATAATAAAATCATTAAAAATCTATTTTATAATATTAGTTTATATTATTATTATAATATTATATGTGTTTTCTTTAAATAAATAAAGAGCAAGATTATCTAAATTAAAAAAAATAATAATAATTTTAATAAAGTATAATATAATAATTCAGATAATTAAAATACTTTTTATAAAATTTTTTTTTAAAAAAAAATTATAATTTAATTATTTTTAAAGTTACTTTACTAAAACAATATTAATATTTTTTATTTTTTTTAATAAGCTGTCTGCAGATTATTTTATTAAGAATTATTCTTAAGTTTATATTAGTTAGTAAGAGTATAATTAGCTACACATATAACTTTAGTTATTGTCTATTTAAAGTTTTGCTATTTAGATTATTTACTAATTACTATATCTAGTATCTGTTTGTATATATTCTATTTAAACTTTTTGATATCTCTATATAATCTAATTTTAACTTAATATTTAATTTATACTAATTATATACTATCTTATTTAAAGACTACTCATATTAACTTATATCTCAAATTGTCTTAGTAAAAATAGTTATATTTCAAGATATCCTGTTAGTTCTATTTAAGAAAGAGCTTGTAGATAACTCTAACTATACTGTATTATATTCTAATTAAGCTAGTATATACTCTTATAAATATTTGTATAAACCTAGTTTCTACTGTAACTCTTTACCAAATTAATTCTTTATATTTCTAAATATTTCATAAAACAAAACTTTTCAAATCTAGTTAGCTATCAAACTAGATTAGTATTATTATTCTTTTATATAATAGACTTATTTATATTTGCTTAATCTGTATTCTTTATATTCAGATTTTTTTTTTTAGATTAAGTATTAACTAATATAACTATTAAAATCTATACTACTTTATTTAACTCAAGATTTTTATCATGCAGGTCTCCTGCTTATAGATTCTATTAAAATTTATTCATAGAAAGGTCCAGTGATCTTAGTATAGTGGTTAGGTTGTTAGACCACCATATAAGAGGTCTGGGGTTCAAATCCTACTGTTGACGAATTTGAATAATTACTCAGACCTTTGTATCTAACTTAAGGTAAACCCTGTTCATTTCTAGGGGTTGTAACCCTGTAAATCATGTTGCACTAATGTCAATTAGATATTAGAAGTATGATGCAATATTCGAGTTATGTTGTACAAATAAATCTTGATAGGATCTACGAGCAGGGGACCTGTATAGTAGAAATCTCGAATTAGATAAAGTAGTACGAATTTTAACAGTCATACTGGTTAATACTTGATCCAAAAAAGAAGCCTGTATACGAAGATTGCAGATCGAGCAGATGCGAGTAAGTTCACTATGTAACATAGCCTGATACTTTATATTAGCGGTAATACTAATCTAGTTTGGCAGCTAACTAGATTTGAGAGGATCTGACTTGTGAAACTTCTGAATATATAGAGGACTAATCTGATGGAGAGCTACAGTAGGAACTGGGTTTGTACAAACACCTATAAGGGTATATGCTAGCTTAAAATAGGATATAGTACAGCATAGTTGGGGTATTCCACAGGCCCCTTCCAAAGAAGGACAAAAAGAGTACCTTGAGGTAGGGCTCTCCTTATAAGGGAAACTGAGGCGCAAGGCTAGTCTGAGTGGTCCTCAATAAGGTAGCACGAGATTGTGCAGGTTTAAGAATAAAATTAGATTAACATTAGAGATGACAGTATGCCAGAGAGTTTAAATAGAGTAGTTACAAATAGGTACTAGGTATGGTAATTAGTAGGTAATCTTCAGACAGAACCTTTAAA